TGCGCCGCCTTTGCAGCGGAAATGTTCAGCAACAAAGCCCTCAAAATTCTGCAAAACATAGTTATCTGTTAGAACCCGCAAACCGCAGGAAGCAAAAGAAAAACAAAGAACAAAGATAACAGGTAAATTGGAACTATTATTCTAGGTGAACACCGGACGATTCTCCCGCTCGGTTACGCGCTCAGTGCTGAGCGGCACCGAGCACGGTACATTTTATTGGATGGTCTGAACTCCGCACAAAATAATAATCTGGTAAATTGTTCACTATGTCACTTTAGAATGCTAGAAGAATTCTGTATATATTGCAGAAATTAGTAAGGAAAGGTCAGGATTAAAGAGCAGATATCCAGCGGTTTGAGAGAACCAAGACTGCTGTAATGAAAGTAAGTGGCGGAGTTCACATGGATTAGTGAGCCCACATATCTATCTCTGGGAATGCTTATCAGAGGCTAAGAAGGGGGAGCTATTTCATAAGGTTCCGAATCAAGAGGGAGTTGTTAAGAAAAGTTTCTAATTAAGGAAAATTATTTAGGAATGTTCCTAATCGAGGGGGAGTTATTTAGGAAAGTCTCTTTATTATGTTTATACTATTTAGGAAGTATTTAATAGTTTATGAAAGTTTCTTAAATCCTGTTTAATTGTCTAGGAAAGTTTCCTAAATTATATTTATGCTAATTAGGAATGTTCTGATTGTGTTAGTGTTCTAGGTCTATTTAAGGTGAGTTTGTATGGGTATGATATTGTTGAGTTTATTTTCATAGTGCTTGTTGTGAGTTCCTACTAGCGTCTAGGGTTTCTGAGAGAGCTGATCTACCTCTCGAACAGTAGATCAATTATATCTTGCTTTATCATTAAAGAAGAAATAAGGAGGAAAATGTTAAAGAGAAGCATTCTAATTTTGAAATAGAAAAAATAGAGGGAAATTAATTAAGGGGGCTGTTTTGGGGGGAATTATGAGAGTTTAATTAGGGATGATTCTAGTGAGAGAAAGGGGCAAAGAGCAGGGAGACAGAGGAAACACAGAGAAACCAAGAATAGGAAGAAATAGAAAATGTATATTCAATCTGTTAAGTTACAGGGTACAAGAGTATATAAAGCCGATAATGGGTACAGGCGTAAATAGCTAAAGAGGAAATATAACAGTATTCTAATATGGTCCCTCAAATTAAGCATTCGTGGAACGAATGGTTAATTTGCGTCTAAGATCGTTAAACCGTGTTATTGGAAACGATTTTGTAAGTATATCCGCCACTTGATCTTTAGAAGAGATGTGAGCTAGCTTGATGTCGCCGGAGCTAATTTGTTGACGGATGAAGTGGTAGTCGATCTCAATGTGTTTTGTTCGTGCGTGGAAAACGGGATTCTTTGCGATGGCGATAGCTGAAGTGTTGTCACAGTGAATGACAGTAGGAGCGGGTTGCGGAAGCTGCAGTTCGATTGCGAGGCAACGAAGCCAAAGAACGTCCGATGCAGCAGCGGAGAGAGACCGGTACTCGGCATCGGTGGACGATTTGGCCACCGTGGCTTGCTTTTTCACGGTCCAGGAAATCAGATTTGGTCCGAGAAAAGTGCAAAATCCTGATATGGACTTTCGGTCAGTCGTGTCGGACGCCCAGTCCGCGTCCGAATAGGAATGTAATCCTAGATTGCCAAGGGTAATAGGTAGGCCGAATGATAGGGTGTCGTTGATGTACCGGAGTAGACGTTTGAGATCTTTGAAGTCTTGCTCAGTCGGTTGCTGCATGTGCTGACAGACCCGGTTTGTAGCGTATGCGATATCTGGCCTGGTGATGGATAGATATTGAAGTGAGCCTGCAAGCCGGCGGTACAGGGATGGATCCGAGAACGGCGGACTGAGAGCTGGCAGAGGGTTGGACTTGGGCGTGATCGGCGTTGGAGCTGGTTTGCAGTCCTTGAAACCTGCATCGTTAAGTAGTTTAGTAGCATAGTGTTCTTGTGAAAGAAAGTAGCCGGTTGAGGATTGAGTTACCTGGATGCCGAGGAAAAGGGAAATTTGTCCTAATTGTTTGAGAGCAAATTGGGTCTGAAGCTGATGTAGAAGATGTTGTATAGCTGCTGCGTCATTGCCCGTGACAAGGAAGTCATCCACGTAAATTAAGATGTATAATTGGATCCGGCCAGTGTGGAGAATTAGTAGAGACGGATCCGAGCGACTGAAGGAGAAGCCTTGCGATTGAAGAAATGTTGTGAGTTTTTGAAACCATTGTCGAGGCGCCTGTTTTAATCTGTAAAGTGATTTATGAAGTTTGCAAACAGCCGTTGGGTTGATCGGATTGACGAAGCCGGGGGGCTGCCGCATGTAGATGTCGTCCTGTAAATCACCATGTAGGAATGCGTTGGAGACGTCGAGTTGGTGCATTGGCCACTGACGATGGAGGGCTAGCGTTAGTAGGAGACGAATTGTCGGCATCTTGGCGACAGGAATGAAGGTCTCAGTGTAATTGATGCCGAATTGTTGGTAGTTCCCGAGTGCCACAAGTCTGGCCTTGTGGCGATCTACCTGTCCTGTGGGTAGAAGCTTTGTTTTGAAGGTCCATTTACAACCAAGAATAGGTTTATTCGGTGGCGGTGGGACAAGAGACCAAGTTGCTTGATGACGAAGGGCCTCAATTTCAGCGGCCATGGCATTCTTCCAGTGCGGTAGTTTGAGTGCTTGAGTGTGAGAGGAGGGAGTGTCGTGAGGAGAAGTGTGAGTGAGCAGATTGAAGATTTTTCGGGGCTTACTGATTCCCGATTTTAATCTAGTGGTCATGGGGTGAGTTGGAGGGGCAGGAGCAATAGGCTGAGGTGAAGGATTTGTTTGAGGTGATGCATTGTAAGATTCATCAGATGTAGGTATGGTTGGTTGACAAGGTGTAATAGGAGTAATGTGATTGTGGGTAGTCTGGTTCGGGACGGCTTGAGTGGTGGGTAGGGATAGAGTGGATGGGGGTTGCGAAGGGAAGGCGGTATGTTCGGTGGCTTATTTGGGATGTTTGGAAGATTGGGTTGATCTATGGTTTTAAAGGGAAATTGCCTTTCATAAAAGACAACGTGCCGAGAGATATAAATTTTACCTGAGGGGATGTCGTAGCACTTGTAGCCTTTATGTAAGACCGAGTAGCCGATGAAGACACAGGCGTGAGAGCGAGGAGATAATTTGTCCGGAGCGTAGGGTCTGAGCCAGGGATAGCAGGCAGCCGAACGTGCGAAGGTGGTTGTAGGTCGGCGGGATGCCGTGCAGTCTTTGGTACGGTATCTGATTGGCAACGGCTTTTGAGGGTAGTTGATTAATGAGGTAATTTGTTGTAGACGTTGCATCGGCCCAGAACTTGTGTGGGAGGCCGGACTCATGGAGCAGTGCTCTAGTGAAGTCGAGAAGATGCCGATGTTTGCGTTCGGCTATCCCGTTTTGTTCTGGAGTATGTGGACAAGAGAGCTGTTGTATGATGCCGTTGTCCTGAAGAAATGATTTGAACGCATGACTTGTAAATTCACCACCGCCGTCGGATCTGAGAGTGCGAGGAGTGGTGTGGAATTGAGTGCGAATTAAGTTGCAAAGAATTTTAAATTTAGAAAGCGCTTCTTGCTTAGTGTATAGAAAATGAATCCAGGAGAACCGTGTGTAGTCATCGACGAAGAATATGTAGTATCGGAACCCATCAAGAGAGGGTTGCGATACCGGTCCCCAAACATCTGTGTGAATCAATTCGAAAGGAGCAGTAGAACTAGAAATGCTTTTATTAAAAACTAGCTTATGGCTCTTGGCCTGGTTACAAGAATCACAAATAAAAGAATCAGAAACAGGTAAAATGTCCGAAAAATGCTTAGCCAGAACAGATAAAGTGGACTTGTTCGGGCGAGCAAGGCGAGAGTGCCAGTTGATCGGGGGCGAGACGGTGGAGGTCAGGGCGGTGTGACGATTGTCCGGAGAAAGACGAATGCTGTAGAGACCGTTACGAAGCTGACCATGAAGAAGAGGTTGTTGGTCCCGAAGATCCTTCATAGTAAATCCATTAGCATCAAAAGTAATAGATATATTGTTTCGGAAGTTAGTTTAGATACCGAGAGGAGATTGTGGGTGAGCAACGGAACATGAAGAAGTTTGTGAAGAAGAAGCTTACGAGACGTGTCCGGGAGCGGAAGAAGACCTTGACCTGTGTGATGTATCGGGAGGGATGAGCCATTCGCGGTGGAGACGGTGTCAGACCCGTTGTAGCTCGTCGGATAGTAGAGTTGATTGGCATCGGGAGTGAGATGTGCCGAGGCTCCGGTGTCAAGAACCCAATCTTGATTAGCGGTGGTGGTAGGAGTCACAAGAAGAGCTCAAGGCTGGCGAGTATCGGTCGGTGCATATTTGAAATTGCACCTATGCCAGCAGTTCAGTGCAACATGGCCTAGTTTGCCGCAGATTTGACAAGTAGGGAGAGCTGTAGAGGAGTTGGGCTGAGTTGACGGGGAAGGCGGCGGAAGCTGTTGGTTCTTTGGTTTGGGATACCGTTTGGTGTTGTTGCGATTGCGCTGATTGGGGAAGCTAGCGGCGTAGAGGGCAATCGTGTTGGATTGAGAGGACTGATCTTGAAGAGATTCCTGCTGTAAATGGATTTCTTCATTGCACAGGAGTGCGTAAAATGTATCCAGATCAATCGGTAGGAGAGAATTTCTGATTGTGGATTTAAAAGAATTAAACGTAGGAGGTAGGCCATTCAAGATGTGCAACATTATGTCTTCCGGGTCGATCTTGGAGCCCGACGCGGATATGCCGTCGACGATGGATTTGATGTGCGTGAGATACTGCTGCATAAGCTGATCTTTCATCTGATCTTTCTTGAGTTGTATTACCCGAGAGCGACTGATGGGTTGAAGGCGGCGTTCAAGGATCGTCCAGGCTTCATGAGCGGAGGAGGCGGTGATGATGTATGGTAGAATCGACTGAGAGACGGTTGAGAAGAGAGCGGAGAGCAGATTGCTGTCGACGAGGAGCCAATGGGCATATGCCGCGGAGGCGGTGTCCGAAGGAGCTTGGACGATGCCGGTGAGATGGCCGGCGTAGCCATTGGCGGTAAATTGCTGGAGCAGCTGAACATGCCAGATAGAGTAATTGTCCGTTGTGAGGGGGTGAGGGGCAAGATTTTTGATGTTGGAGACAAGAAATTTAAGTGGTTGAGGGATGTGGCTAGTTACAGAGGAAGCAGTTGTTTGATCGGAGGAGGAGGGAAGGTTTTCGACTGGTTCTTGATCTCCCATTGGCTCCGATACCATGAGAGAAAGAGGCAAAGAGCAGGGAGACAGAGGAAACGCAGAGAAACCAAGAATAGGAAGAAATAGAAAATGTATATTCAATCTGTTAAGTTACAGGGTACAAAAGTATATAAAGCCGATAATGGGTACAGGCGTAAATAGCTAAAGAGGAAATATAACAGTATTCTAATATCTAGGGTTTATTTTCTTCATGTATCTTTGGAGTTTACTGGAGTTTTTCGATATCTTTCT